TTTTTTTTTTTTTTTTTTTTTTTTTTTTTTCGAAAAATAGAGCCATTGCGTCCGATGCACCAGCATTCAGACAGTGAACAATGAAGCTCGTTGAGTTTACATTGTACTCGCATAAGAGAGGCAGAATTTTTAAAACGATTTCCACCCCATTTGGTTTCATTCTGGAGCGTTTTACGCTGCATTGGAAATATTGTTTTTTCCATTACGAGTATATACATAATTTTTCATTTGGTTTCGATATTGGTTAGATGCGTTTCACGATTTTTTTGATCGAGCTTTTGAAAAATGACACGAGTGATTTAAAAAAAGTTCCTCGTTGCGTAAATTTTATTAAACGGATGTCGGATTGCTAATCTTGAGAACAAAACCTTTTTTTTTTTTTTATTTTGGCGTATTTTATGATCATACGTGAAATATCTTATGTATTTCTTTATTAATACGTATAAATGTATAAAATTATTATTTTCGTTATTCACAGATTTGCACAGGAATAATCAAACTTTCGAATTTTTAATAACGGAGAAAATGACTATTTATTCCTTTTAATGTTAAATTTATTCTCTCTATCCATTTTTACTATTATCTATCTTATTATATTTCCCCTATCTATTACAAATCTTAAAGTCAAGTATCTACAATAAATTCCTTCTATCTATATATATATAATTAACAATGCAAGACAAAATTTAATGATCATCATTAATCAAACGTTATTTTCCTCCTTATATCTTTTTCCTTTTTTTAAGATTATTTTATTGAACAGGAACTTTCTCTCAACGTATCGTTATAATCAATCACGAAAAAGGAGAACGAGATGTAATTAATTCGAGCATGGATGTTTTATCCCTGCGTTGGACAAAACGTTGCGAGTTCAAAAAAAAAAAAAAGGTTAATGGATGAGAAATTGGATGAGAAACGGGCACGATTTTCGCGTAAAACTTACCAGAATATGTCGTAATAAATACGATGAGCGACAGTGAGGGGCGCGATAAAAACGATCGAGCATTTCGAAGAGAGGTCGTAAAAAGGAGAATTTTACGGGAAGTCGGCTAAATCTTCATCCAGAGAATTCTTTTCTGAATCGTCGAACGACCGGTGTTATTCTTCCGTTTCGATACGGTATTATCGACCAATAACCTAGGCTCAGATATGTCTTTTATTCGTGACAGATGTTAGATTAATATCATTCGTTTATTATCTCCACCTCGTACGAATATCGTAGGAAATCGTAATTTTATTTTAGAATTTTTCGAATAATTTTAAACGAATAATTTTATTTTATTTTTTTTTTAAGCTAAGTTAATTCATTCTCCGAGTTAATTAAAACGTAAATTCGTTTCGATATCAATTAAAATAAAAACGAAAATTATTCGGCCGGGATAATCGTATAATTTGAAAATATTATTCAGCCAAGTAAAATTGATAAAATCAATAGTTATATATTTAAATTATTGGAATATCTTACTGGAAGATTAATAACACGTCCATCAGTTTGCAATCTCCGAACGAATGAACGATAATAATTTAAATAATTAACATCCAATAGCCAAGATTATGCAAGGCTATAGCGTCTAAAATCTATAATTTTCTTTCAATTAAATTCGCCCGCATATTCACTCACTTTATAATCGTTCGAGGACGATGGAACATCCCTTCGACTCGTTCCAATACTTACTCTTTCTTCCTCCCAAATAAATTGCACTATCAAAAGAAGCGATCTCGAAGCAGCCTTTGTACGAACGAGAGTTCGGGAACAAATTACTCGAGGAACGATTTGGGTCATCATAGTCTTCCGTGTGAATCGTTGCTCTTACGGAAAATGCGGTTGCTACGCGTTTCACTCCAAGCCAAAGGATACCTTTACAGTTGACACTCGATACCTCGATGAGGTATCGTAAAACGAGACGAAGGAAAAGAAGGTGGAAAAGTCGGAATTTCGGAAGGGAATTGGTCCCTCTCCTCTTGGATGGAAGAACTTTGGAGAGGATCGATCTTGAGACTGTTATTCGGTGTCGATGAGTAATCTACACCAAACAAACTGCTAACTCGCATCGAATGCCAATCAACTCCTTTTTCCTTCCTTAAAGGTTCCTTAAAGGTGCCCCAACGATTAAATTAATTAATTAACTGGTAATTTTGCCGAAAGTCAAAGTGTTGATAATGTGTTGTATTGAACCAATTTATCATTTCAAGAAGCTTGAAAAGAAAGATAAGAGAATTTGGAGAATATGTAGAAAATTGATTTGAAATTTCGGTGGTAGAGTGGTCTGTTCGTGATGTAAATTGTATTTTTTTTTAAGTGAGATCACTTCTTGAAAATATTGTCAAGTATTCACCTCTGTGAAATATTTTCAAAGTGACAGGTGTTATAATGGTGTACAAAGTTAAATGAAAAATTGTATCATTTTTTGCATCCACGAGCAAGAAACATTGTATAAAAAATTGTAGATTTTAAAAAAATTCTTGTTTTTTTTATCTTTTTCAATTAGACTCCCTTAGAATGATATATTGTAGGAGAAATTTTATGTTGTGCAGATTTTGAAAAATGAAATTTAGTGATAAAATAACAACTTGACCCATTCAAAAATTCCTTTCTTCTCAATTTTGATTTTTCAGAAATTTTTTTTTTCCAGCTCTTTTACATATACTTTGCAACCATTTATCTTTCCATATGGTCTTTCCCTTTCTCCGTTTCGCAAGTACGTCTATTCATCATTTGCATCTCCACCTCCATTTTCCATTTTTCATTTTTACCAAATAAAATTCTATTCCTTTTACAAAATGGTCTATATCCATATTTTATCTTTATTTTATTTATTCCGTATTTTATTTTAGTAAACAAATAAAATTTCTATCGAAAAACGTAACAAAAACTCCATTTCTCATTCGATCAGCCAGTTTCTAAAAAAAAAACCAATAAATATCATTCGAACAGATAACCCATTCCTGGTGAAATGATGTGCAGCGTCAAAAAATAATAATTGTAATTTCGAGTAGGCATCTATCGAATCGCGTGAAATTTTATGCACCTGTTGATATATGCAACGGTTCGCGGGTTAAAATTGTTCCGTTAACTTGTCAAAAACCGTTCGATCTTTCCTACGAATCGTCCAACGATCGCACAAAATGTTAACGCATTAATATCGTTGTGATGGTTGATTTAACATCGATTTTGACTACTACTCGATATACGCTTTCGATTTAAAGTTCATCTTTCGAAGATAAATAGAACGATTTATTTCCCAATATTATAAATAAATTACATGATGAACGTTCGTGAATGCATCGATGATTATCGATGAGCGAGCCTACCTACGTTATCGATCGATGGTATCGAAAATTTCTATACGATAAAATTCGATACGGGCAATTGCTATTTAATTCGCGAAAATCATCCTTTGTTCCGCGATGGAAGTTGGAAGCGGAACGGGTCATCAGGTGGAATTAGATTACTACTGCTAATTAAGCGCGCACTATCTGATTAAGAGCGAAATTAATACCATGCAACATTGGAATAAGTTCGATCTTGATTAATCAAGTTAAAAATATTTGCAATACAAATCGAGCGTGTAAAACGATCGTGGTGAATTTAAATATCGTTCGTTAAGTAATTTAATCATTTAATTGTTTTTTCCGGCAAACATCGTTAAACGTGTAATTATATTTAATCTTTTTCACATGGCTGTGATCGTACATCTATTTTTAAATATTAATTTAAAATTTAATAATTTAAATATTAATAATTTTAAAATTTTACGTTGCATTATTAACCTTCTCTCTCATCTAGATTAAAAAATATTTTAATATTCCAATTATTATATTAATATTTTATGAAATATTTTATTTTTAGAATTCTATATACATATATACATTCCATATATTTTTAAAAATTTCTCAATGTGAAAATCTCTCAAAAAATGAAACAATTAAAATAGATGGAATCGATCAGTATTTTCTATATATTTCACAATATTATTTGTCCATTACTTCCTTTCAAAAAAAAAAAAAATAAAAAAAAATAAAAAGGAAAGACTCGAAGATAAACGAGCATCTCAAATAGAAACCTTTCTTCTCGTAAAAGGTAAGATCCTGATGGCGAGTTGCGATGTTCGCGTAATAAAAAATATAACAATAGATAATAGCAGAAGCAACCTAATGGACGTGGAAATTATCGTTAAACCTTTTTCTTTTTCCCTCGAGTCAACAAGAGAGACAGAGAAAAAAAGGGTGAACCTAGAAATGGCGCTCAGTAGAATTCTAGAAAGGGTATTGGAGGAAGAACAAGAGGGTTATTCGTTCGATCGAAACGAGAGCCTCTATGACAGACAGAAACGCTCACACGTGTCCTTTCCAGAGAGAAGGTTTGGCATTAACGGTGATGGATGGTTAAATACATATCGAATGTACATCTTTCTTCGTCCATCAATATACAGACGAAAAAGGAAAGAAATTATTAATCGTCGATGAATTTGATCGGTCGTAGACGATTAATCACGGACGATGACTTTAAAAGACTCAACGTCTGTGTCCTCTGATGCGAGGAAAAATTTACAGAGACGACGATCCTTTGTTTCACGTCAAGTTACAAATATAGAACAACAGACTGAATTAAACACTGCTGCCAATAAGCGTTATAAACATTCTACACGTACATCTCTCCTTTCTCTCTCTCTCTCTCTTTCTTTCTCTCCTTTCTACCTCGATATTCATTCATAAAAGACCGTCGTACTACTTGCAGAACACATTTGGAAATAAATATAAGACTCCTACAATCCATGCAATTCCACGTTTCTCACAATTGAACGTAGTGTAAAAATTTCCAAAAGGAAGAAAGAAAAAAAGAAATTACTATCAACCACAAACGAAACGTAACATTCACTCGTATGAGACGTCAAAGGATTTTCAAATAACAAGAAATTAGAATACTATATAAAATCTTGGTATAAAATTTATCAAATTTCAAGGAACAAACGAAAGAAGGATAAATAATCGATCGAGAATCCCATAGAAGCGAGATCGAGACGTATCGGTCGGACATCGGCTCTATTGATCGCCAATGTCAACGCACACCATCGCATGAGTCGAGACACGCGAGAGGGGTGCGTTCGTGCCTTCGGCGAACGATCAAATCACGCAACACAGCTCGACTCGAGACGCATTTACCGAGATCCTCGCATTCGCAGGGATTAATCGAGAACGGGAGTTGGAGAATAATGGTGGAAAATGCGTGGCTACTCACGAGATCGAGGTGTCGTCGGCTTCCCCGTGCGAATTCCCTCGTTTCCACGAAATACGACTGGTCAACTTGGTGGAGAGTTGCAACGGTGTGTCGGCTGGTTAGACGGCCATGTTGTTGGAGATTCACCGCCCTCTGGCCGACGCTCCGCGAACCCGCTATCCCTTCCCTCGGTGGAAAAGAGACGCTCACCCTTCGTCTCCGTTCCCTTCCTCGTGTCTTTTGTCCCCACGCGCTCCATCGCCCAACTTCGCGCTTTTTTCTTCCTTCGAGAATGAAAAAAGATACAAGGTCTTTCTCGCAACTTCTGCGTTGCTAA